GAAACCAATTACAGGAGATCCATTTGGGCTGCATCTATTTTCATAAGAAGGCTAGGCAGCAGTGTTTTTCTCAGAGATGAATATCAACATCAAATATGCTTCTGAGTGCTTTGTTATTTATGTTTCAGAGAGATTTTGTAGCCTTCAGCTCTCAAGAATGTGTCTTGCTGTGCTGTTTATACATTGAAGATATTAATGGGTGTAGATGCCATTTTTCATTTTAATGTCTCAAATGCAACAGGCTGATAGGTTAAGCATTCCTATTTTTATGGGGAGAGATATGAGTGATGTCTGTTTTCTCCCAAAATATACATATATTTACTTTGAAAAAAAAGAAGTTATTTATTAACCTTAGAATGCTCAACATTTTTGGTTTCACTGGGTGTTTCTTAGCTATTCTCAAACAATTTTACTCCTCGTGAAAGTTTTCAGTGTCTTTCAAGATATTGATCTGACAGGTTATAAAGGTTTTTTCTACCCTTAATTCTCATAATGACCTACTCATTACAGTCACTCTCCATATATGAGATTCATAGGTAGCATAGTTAATACTGTTGTGGAGGGGTGATAACTTGAACTTTGTTTTCCTTACAGATTTTTAGTTTATTTGAAATTAAACAGTAACTTTTAGGAATGATGTTTTCAGTAAGTATTTTTTTCAAGTTTTTATTTAAATCCCATTTAGTAAACGTATAATTTAATACATGTTGTGGAGCAAGATGCACTGAATTCTGAAAAACTGGTGCATTCCCACACCTCTGCAGCCTAACAAAAAATATGTCTTTAATATGTTGTAAAGATTTTTATTCATTTTTCAAAATATTCTAATTTAATCTGATTCCAATTTTTAAAATGCCCTATCTTAATTTTCTTTCACTTTACTAAAATTAGATAACTTCATTAAGTAAAGTGCACTCTTAATTCAAAACAAATGTGTTTTTGGAAACTAGATATGGTTTGGCTGCCTTAGAAACCTCTTTCTTACTGTTCACTAGAATCACACTCAGTCTTTATTAAAGGAGATTTTGTAAACAAAATTGCCTTTTGCTCTAAATTTTTGGTTGTGTTTTGTTTTTTGCAGAGCAGAAGGTGATCATATAAATACCGAAACAGCTCATAGAACTTAATGAATGGCCCTGGAATTTATCTTTTCTATTTACCAGTTAAAGTGGACAAGTCATTTTCAAATTAATATTTTATGTAATTTGACACCTAACACCTTATATTGATGAAAGTATTTTCTCTCCTGATCTTTCATACTTTGAGTAACTACAAAATAAATTACTAAGATGAACTAAATGTCTCTGAGCAATTGTTTATTGAAATTCAGTCCTAAAATGATATCCAGAATACTGAGAATAAAAATGTCATGCGATGCCTGCAGTTAGAATGCAAACTGCCAAAGATTCCCGCTTAGGATAAGTTTTAAATCATTCCTGATATCTTAGAGTTATTTTTTGTTCTCCTGCCTTTTATGTTTGCTACAGCAATCTCTACTGCTACTAAAAGAATGTTGAAATAGGCAAGTGTTTTCTTTTTTTTTATTTAATTTTTTTTTTTAATTTTAGAAAGAGGGGGAGACTGTCTCTTTCTCATAAGAATTTGTACTGAAAGATGGTCCTGGACTATTTAAAAACACTTTTTTTAAAACATTTATTCATTTTTGAGAAAAAGAGAGACAGAACACAAGTAAAGGAGGGGCAGAGAGAGAGGGGGACACAGTATTGGAAGCAGGCTCCATCTAGGCTCTGAGCTGTCAGCACAGAGCCTGACACGGGGCTCAAACCCTTGAATCGTGAGATCATGACCTAAGACAAAGTCAGATGCTTAACTGACTGAGCCATCCAGTCACCCCAGATCCTGGACTATTTTAAACAGGACTATTTTAAACATAACTCTAAATGTGTATGGAAACCAAGGTACTTTAAAAGTTTAGCCGGCTATCTGTGGTATTCCATTATTTCTATTACTGTAATAACAGTGTATATGTATGCTTTTGTCCAGTGAAATTTTCATAAACTGCAATTCCAATAAATCTAATTTCCTAGTGTCTTTCTGTAGCCACTGGGTGTTGCATATTCCATTGGGTTTCTTGTGTGGATTGAGCTGAATGAATATCATGAAGGGTGATGACATGAATAGAGCCCTCAGCTTGGGAGACAACAGCCTGAACTTTTGACCAAACGGTGCTACTGCTTTGTGACTTTAATCAAATTACTGTCATGTTAGTGCTTCACTCACGTGTCTGCAAAATATGAAATCTAAACTAAACAACGGATAAGGCTTATGTCCAGCTCTAGAATTGTTCAGTCTATTTGTAATAACTGGTCAAATGATCAGAGGGTTACAGGAGTTTAGATTTCCATCAGGTATTGGTAGAGGATTTCCAAGTCAAGGATGGCTGGAACACTTAGCCATAAAAGCAATCTATATTCCATAGTAGTTGTTCCATTCAAACATTTACAAATTCAAGTGGAAAAAGACTATATTGTTTTTCTTTTAGGTTTAGATAAACAAATTTACTCTCTTTACAGGTAAAAATAACTTATTATGGTGCCATACGTGCTCCTTTGCTCCAGCTTTATTCATTGCCATCTAAGGGTTTCTTTGATGGAGCAGAGACGATATGGCATCGGGAATGCACTCTGTCCTGGAAGCAGGAGACCTTGAACAAAACACTTGATTACTCTAGGCTTTGTTTTCTCATTTGTTTAACTGAGGACATCAAAGTAGATGATTTCTATGATTGCTTTTAGTCCCAGCCATTCATGATTCCAAGATTCACAAGTATGTTCATTAGAATCCTTTAAGAATAATAAATAACCACAGAATTGAATATAAATTCAGTAAGGCTGTGTGCATACAAAAGGGGAAAGCACAATTATATGAGAAAGATTAGGCAAAATTTGTGTGGACCGTGGCAACAAAGGCAAAAATAGTTGATGGGTTTTTGTTTGTTTGTTTGTTTGTTTTTCTTGAGAGTGTCACGTAGACAGCCTAAGTCATATGGTGGTAATTTCCACTTGCACAATATCATTTGGAGTTACGTTATAAATTGTGATTTAAAAAGGGAAGCTGTATCATTTAGAATATTAAATGATATGTTTTAAACTAAGTTTGGTGATAAAGTATTTGGGTGTTTTTTTATTTGTCAAACTGCACTTTCCATAAAATTGCCTGAGTTCATTGGAATGTGTCATCCTTAGAAATATCGAGGTATGGGGCGCCTGGGTGGCTCAGTCAGTTAAGCGTCCGACTTCAGCTCAGGTCATGATCTTAACGGTTCATGGGTTCGAGCCCCACATCAGGCTCTGTGCTGACAGCTAGCTCAGAGCCTGGAGGCTGTTTCAAATCCTGTGTCTCCCTCTCTCTCTGACCCTCTCCTTCTCATGCTCTCTCTCTCTCTCTCTCTCTCTCTCTCAGAAATAAATAAAACATTAAAAAAATTTTTTTAAAAAACATTGAGGTAGTAATTACTTGAAAAATTGAAAAAACAAAAGATTGCTATGTGTGAGTGTGTCTCCAAATGTAAAAAGTGTGCTTTACAAACTATGCCAGATCCGGCTCCAGGAAGACAAATCAGCGTTGTTAGGGGAGGGTGCTATAGTGCCTTCAGTTTGTTTACTTTGGTTTCTATGTCTGCCTGCCTTCTCAGAAAACTTGCTTGGAGCCAGACTGTAGCAGCCCTCTCTCTGTCTTTTCATAATTGATCAGGGGATGACTGCCTTCCCCGAGGGTTAAGACGTGGCAACTTTTTCTGTTTGCTCAGCATCTCAATGCAGTAGTTCAAACATTGTTCACACCAGCTGGCAGTGTAATGCCATATGCACATCTTGTCAAAGCAACTGTTGTCATGGATACTAGAAACTCTCTTAAAAACCAGATCATTGATTCCAATCAAAATTGTACTTTTTATCAGCTTAGAATCTCAATTATGATAGTAGAATATTGATCTAAGATATTCTCCCATCATGAAAAATTTACCTTGTATTCTAAAACACTGAAGAACAGAGTAGGGCAATGATTTATTTCAGTTTTATGTGCTGAAAAATTTCATCATTAGTGTTCATTAAACTCAGTCATTGAGAGAACAAATGAGTTTGCAAAGTAGACGCTCTTAGAAAGTTTTTTTTCCCTTTAATTTATACTACTACCCTAAAAGCATCTCAATATGTATTTTTATGGCATTCGTTTTTATGTAAGTTTTTATAGTACACTCACCGAACTGTCACTCCTCCTGTAAATGAAATGCTTAATTTCTTATGTTAAGTCTTATTTTCCTGAATGGGGGGAAAAACATAAAAATAAATGAAAACATCTTCTATTTTGATTGGTATTCTGTCACACATAGAAACAAATCTGATTGGTTGAGTGGTAATTTCTTTGTTCTCTGATTTTGCTAAGAATGCAAATGAAAACCACTCAATTTTATTTGGCATTAAAACTGCACTTTATTTTGTCAAAGGAGAGGTTTCCCCTTGAATTGTAAGTACAAAAAAAGTGTTTTTAATCTTTGGTGAAAATCCTTATTAATTCACTTTCAAGATAATCTGATGTTGATTTGTCAAATTTAATTACAGCTTCCGGTAACACTTGAAGTCTACTGCTTTTGCTTCAAAATTGTAATATGAAAATGCAAATTGAATGATAATTTAAAAGGGAGTGGGCATTTTAGTTGAACACTCAAAGACAAGTTCCTTGTGGAAATGAGGTTATTGATGCAGTTTATGATTTTTTCCTCTTTAAGCTCTTTAAACAAATTAACTTTATTTCCTGCAGGATTACATGTATTTCCATGACTTTAAGTAAAGTTGTATATGTGTGATATGTGGAATTTTTTTTCACATTAGAAGATATTTAATAATTCTCTCTAGAAGGGAGGATGGGGAAGGGGCTGTCATACATTGAAGCCTTTTACTGTTAACCAAGGAATAATCAATTATTGATAATCAATTACCATTCCACAAAGTATTTAGATATTGCTCCCTTTTTACTTTTAGGCTCTCCAAGCAGCAAGACAACTTCTCTTACAGCAGCAAACAAGTGGATTGAAATCTCCTAAGAGCAGTGATAAACAGAGACCACTGCAGGTTAGTAAAGCATTCTTGTCCTTGAGGTCTTATTTTAAAAGATGTTCATAATGATAACAGATGTGCAGACCCAGTTGTATACATTCATAGAATTATTACACTTGCATGTATTGCTAATTTTAATTCAAAAAGAGAGTCCACTATTTTTTTTGGAAAGAAAAATAATTTCTATTTTCATAGATTTCGAAAGCATACAAGGTCACTTATTACAAAAATTATATAGAAACCACATTTGGTGTACGTAGGCATGAGAAGTTTTGTATCAAACTCCCTTGTGGGATTTTAACAGAATTTTATTCACACGTTAAAATAAAATGTGAAATTTCTTCCTTCAAAGCAAAGCCATAGTAAGATGGTGTGGAAGGAGACAAAGCAGTCAGTCTTAGACAACCTCCACAGTTGTATCCAAGTGACAAATGCAGAAAACCTTCAAGGTTGCCAAAAACTGTTTGAGTTTGCCAAGGAGTTATTGCTGTTGCTACAGTTATAAAAACACATTCTGGAGTTTGTTGTCCTTATTCACTATGTTTGTCCTGTGCAACTGATAGTATACGTATGTCCTTTAAAGTAACTTTTTGTTACATAATATAACCACTGTTTTATATAGTCTTACGCAGGGGTATGTAGGTCGTTATTTGGGAGAAGCAGCATTTTTAGGGTGTATTTTTTTAATGTTTGGAAGGTAGAATCTAGAGTTACATAAAACATCTTTCAAAGTGTTTATCAGCTCTGTTGAAAAATAAGAAATGTTTTTTCCTGAATCCCGTGTTTTATATAAGCCTAATAAGGTAAGCTTAGTTTGAAAAAAAGTAAGCATCCTTCTTGTTGCTTTATTTTAACAAAACAATCTTGGATTTTTTTTTTAATGGCTTAGCTGTCTATTTTCATTTTCAGGTGTACTCCCAGATGTTAGTAGTTAAGTCTTTTATGATGGCCTTCTGCATGACAGAGAATTACAGACTTACGTTACTTATCTACACAATCCAGAAACTACCTATTCCCTAAAAACTGGATTAAATTTTTGGGCCCTAAACAAACTTGAGACCAGAATATATATTCTTGGGAACAAACCCATTTGTGGGAGGTGGGTGGGAAGAAGGAGGACTTGTGGAGAGCCGATGTGTTCCAACCATCTTCAGTTCAAATGTCTGCCATGATTGCAAAAGTTGTATTGAATCAGCCAGAGCTCAAGATTCATTTTAACTTAAATTTTTTTTCACATTCTTTTGTTTAAACTGATCAATAAATTTATGGTGACACACTTCTCTCACCATCATCTCTCCCTAAATAACGACAGTGATTGGAGTATTTCCATCAAATTGTCTTATTCCATGGGAGCCTCTCCATACATTTACATGACAGAGAAAAATTTACATAGAAGTCACAGAAGATAGCAAATGAAATGTTTACTTCACTGTAGCTTCGGAATGGGAATTTTGCTCTGTTGTTGGCATAGCAAGGGTGGTTTAGTTGTTTGCAGCATAAGCCAAAGGTGGGAGTTTATTGTTTCAACTTTGGGAAACGCACTACATATTGTCCTAATTCTATTTTAACATGCCCCTTGACAAAATAGACAAAATAGTTGTTCCTTCCTCCCCAAAGCTAACTCCAGTAGAAGCCTCTTTATTGCTGGTTACCAGGGTATCTCTGGAAAGAATGGTTGGGCTTCAGTTTGTCTTTCTTTTTTTGTTGTATTGGAAGGCAAGATTTGATACTTTGTTTAACTTAAATATACATAATTTTTCTTGGAAAACACACACATATAATGTAGGAACATTAATGACTCTAAAATAAGAAATTGTTGGTCATGTACCAAATGTTGCATATGTAAAATTTCAGGCAGAAGTCCTCAATTTTGTTATTTTATTGTGGAAGGGTGATTGAAAGCAATTTAAATATCTTTTAACAATTTCAGGTGCTAAACATTACCACAAAGACTTTTCTTGTGTCACTTATATTTAGTGTTTTATGATACATATTAATATATCTCCTTGTATAAATTATAAAACCATAGCATTTTATTTTGTGTTTATTTTGTGTTTTAATCATAGGGTCTAATGCCAAAATGTCATAGGAATGAAAAGTGGTTTTTGTGAATGAGAATTTAGAAGTAATGAAGGCTTACGTCTTCACCAAATTAACACTGCGATTAATATAATGTGAGCCTAAAGTTTTAGTATCTCATAGTATTTGAGAGGTTTAGCAACTGTAAACATACTGCGATTGTGTTACAAACCTAATAACGTCTTCTTAGTTTGCATATGTCGTCAAATGAGGATCTTAGGTGATGCTTGTCCTTGCATCTGCAAATGCTATTTAACATGAGTTTCACTATTAGCTACTTCTGTTAGAGGCTTGAATAGTTTTGTTAAAAATTTTAACCATTTAATATGAAATTAACACTTTGAAACTTTGATGACTTTTTTTTCAGTCTAGTTCTTTTTCTACTTAACTATTTAACCAGTCTTTCAAAATAGAGTTGGTGTAGACTATCTCTTAAAAATTGATAACTAATTGAACATGTTTCAAAATCTGCACTTATAAGGGCTAGGTACTTGGTGCTGATAATAGATCATAGTGGTTTGTGCTTTGTCAGACATAATACATTTTTAGAGAACCAAAAGAGAGTATGTGTTTTTCATTTTAAAATATAGTTTTGATGGAGAACTATTTTATAAAGTTTGAAAAAAATAGAGATAAAAAATCTGTTTTGATGGCTCAAGTCACAAGAACAATATTAGGTCTTGTTATACTCAACTGATTTCTTTTAAAGGTTGAAAAGTAGTAGCCAGATTTGAAGTGTGACATGGTAGAGAGTCTATTTCCAGCAGATTATATTTATCTACTATTACTTTTTCATTTACATTTGTTCAGGGTTTTGTGCTACAGATGGCATAGATATTAGCCTATCTAATACAAAATGGAAAGAAAAAAATCACATCTGACAAGCTCAAGTACCGATTGTAGTAATAATTTCACTTTCATGTATAAATATCTGAATATATGTATTTGAAACATGTTTACATTTTCTATTCATTACATAAAACACCAGTCGAATAGGTCCAATAGTAGGTACATTGATTAATGACATATTGATGAATAACATATAATGATTGTGATGCAAATAGAAGCTGATATTAACCTAATCATTACCAGATGTTTCTTCTTTACATGCTTACTGTATACCCCAGAACACACACTGTAACAGCTAAAGACAGTCTCTCATCTTGAATTCTAATATGTATTTGTATATCCTCCTAGAACTTCCTGGACTTGGTTTACCCACAGTGGTTCATAAAAAGAAAAGTTAGCCAAAGAGAATAAGTAATGCTTTTAATCTCATGAAACTAATTTCCAGATTAAGAAAGAGTATTTTTTTTACTCTTTTTAAACACACACACACACACACACACACACACACACACACCTGCATATGCACACATGCACACTTCCATAATCTGTAAATTTTAAATTTTTCTAGCCTATGACAAATCTACTTAATTTAGTTTAGGTATGAAAATTGGTCGCATTATTGTTCTTGTTACATTTACAGCCATGAGACAGACTTGTGGTTCTTCAACAGCTGTGCAGAGCAGAGACGTAAATTTAAGGTAAATGACATTGCTTTGCTATCTTAGATGAATATTAGTATATAGTATTGTAATCACTTCCTTCATGTAGGTTAATATCTAATATAAGGTTCTCTTTTCCCATAGGTAACTAAAATACTTTTTAATAATTGTGTTAAATAGTTCAAGAACAGAAGAATAAAAAGCAAAAGTGAATTACACTTAGGGGTCTTATTCTTACTCTGCCACCAGCTAGTTATATAAGTTAAGGAAGCCACTCATCATTTTTAAAATAGAGACATTGGGCTTATCTGATGGCCAAAATATAATCTGTGCTGTAAGGCTTATTTTTTAATCAAGTTATAGGCATCTTAATTTTTCAGGAATAGCTGTATCTTCTTGGGTATTAGTTTATGAGTTAAGATTTCATTTGTTTGTTTGTTTTCAGTTACAAAGCACTTGTTTTTTAACATGCCATAGCCAAAACTAATGTTTTGGAATCAATGTACTAAATCCTGTATGCATGGAAACAATTGTGGAAATACCATTTTGTACAGTATCTCAGGAAGCTTTGTTCTGTTTAATGCCTTGCAGTAGTTTTATAAATTGGTTTAAGGAGAAATAAAAGCTACACAAAGAATGATTTTATCAATGTATTTTCCTTAGTAATCTACATTAAAATACGTTGTGATATAATACAATTTAGCAAATTTCTACCTTTTTCTACTTCTTCAACTTGAAATGTTGAAATTAACATAAGCAGACAAAACAAGAAATTCTACAGTAAACTACTCAGCATTTCTAAATTTCATATTCTTGGAAAATATCAAGAATAAAGTATAAATAATGAATATATATTCTAGGAGAAAATGATAACTGTAGAATATGGAATTAGACATTGATAAATATGTTTTAGGAAATTATAAATGTTCATGCATGCATTGGTAAAGAATAATGTTGACTATTTCCTTTTCAACATAATTTCTGATTTCTAGTATGTAAGAATTAGAAGGAAATGTCTTAAATACTGAAAGTAACAAATCAAGAAATTTGCAATATGGATTTGAGTAGAGCAATGTACTATGATGCAGAAAACATAATAAGATATTTTTAAGTGTTTCTGTTATTTTTCCTGTGTATCAAAAAGATAAGCAGTAACTCTAATACGTTGTTTTTATATAATAAATCATAAATTTTAAAAAGTTTAACTTAAAAATTATTCACAAGGAAAGACTATGCCTTGCGCGGTCCTGATTTTCATATTATACTACAGAACATTTCTAAAAGCCAGCATGAAATAAGCAGTTTTACAAGAATGTTACAGAATAAAATCTTAAAATATTATGATGTTGCCACCTGTGGCCAGCTGCTCAAGGCTGACACCCTGTGGAGGAGGATCTAGGATGTCCAGTCCATCATTGCTAAGTATGC